AACCTTTCGGAAATGTGAAAACACAGCTAGAAGGCACCATCCATGAAGGAGAAAGCAAGCCTTTACCAGACACCAAATCTGCTGCTGCTGCCCTGGTCTTGTGCTTTCCAGCCTCTGGGAAACCTGTGGTACTGTGAGCAATACATTTTTTTTTTTTTTTTGTAAATTACCCAGTCTTAAGTATGTTGTTAATAGGAGTCTGAATGGACTATGACAGTTACTGATATGAAATCTTTCTTCTCATTTAATATAGGTATTTATAGCCGTAAATTTCCCTCTGAGCATTATTTTTGCTGCATCCCCTTTGTTTTGGCATGTTATGTTTTCATTTTCATTTATCTCAGGTTTTTTTTTGTTTGTTTTGTTTTTTTGAGACAGAGTCTTGTTCTGTCACCAGGCTGGAGTGCAGTGGTGTGATCTTGGCTCACTGCAACCTCCACCTCCTGGGTTCAAACGATTCTCCTGCCTCAGCCTCCCGAGTAGCTAGCACTGCAGGTGCATGCCACCATGCTCAGCTAATTTTTGTATTTTTAGTAGAGACGAGGTTTCACCATGTTGGCCAGGCTGATCTTGATCTCTTCACCTCGTGATATGCCCGCCTCAGCCTCCCAAAGTGCTGGGATTACAGGCGTGAGCCATGTCTCAGGTATTTCCTAATTTCTCTTGTGATTTCTTCCTTGACCCTTTGGTTAAGACTGTGTTAATTTCCACATATTTGTGAATATTTTAGTTTTCCTCTGTTACTGATTTCTGATTTTATTCCATCCTGGTTGGCAAAGATACTTTGTATAATTTCAGTCTTTTTAAATTTCTTGAGACTTGTTTTGTGCCCATATGGTTTATGCTGGAGATTGTCCCATTTGCATTTGAGAACAGTGTATATTTTGCTGTTGTTGGGTGGGTCATTCTGTATGTCTGTTGGGTCTGTTTCGTATATAGTGTCATCCAAGCCCTCTGTTTCTTTATTGATGTTTTGCCTGGTTGTCATGTTTGTTATTGAAAGTGGGATATTGAAGTCTGCAACTATTACTGTAGAACGATTTATGTCTTCAATTCTGGCAATTTTTACTTCATGTCTTTTGGAAGTTCTGTTGTTAGGTGCATATGTGTTTATAATTGCATATGTGTTTATTATATATTCTTAATGGATTGGTCCTTTTATCAACATGTAATGTCCTTCTTTGGTGTCTTGAAATCTTAAACTGAAATCTGTTTTGTCTGACAATTATATAGATAACCCCAGCTTTCTAGTGGTTACCATTTCTATGGGCTCTTTTCCATCCTTTTACTTTTAACCTTTTTTTCTTTGTATCTAAATTGTCAGCATATAGCTAGATCATGTTTTTTATGCCTTCAATCTGCCTTTTAATTGGAGTTTAATACATTTAGAGTAACTAGATGACTGACTTCTGCTTTTTAGCTGTTTTCTGTATGTTTTATCTGGTTTTTGTTACTTAAAATCCCACCATTACTGCTTTATTTCATATTTAGTTGAAACTTTGTATTGTACCTCCTTTTCTTTCCTTTTGTGTATATTTTTAAGTTATTTTCTTGGTTATTCCCTCAGGAACTGCAGTTAACATCTTAAGCTTTACAAACTTCAGGAGGTTTTCTTGTTTTGTTTTTGAGACAGGGCCTCACTGTGTCACCCAGGCTGGCACAGTCTTGGCTCACTGCATCTGCCACCTGGGCTCAAGTGATCTTCCCACCTCAGTTTCCTGAGTAGCTGGGACTACAGGCATGCACCACCACACTCAACTAATTTTTTTATTTTTTATTTTTTTGTAGAGGCGAGGTCTCACTGTTGCCCAGAATGGTCCCAAACTGCTGGGCTCAAGCAGTCCACGTGGCCACCTCAGCCTCCCAAAGTGCTAAGATTACAGGCGTGAGCCATTGTGCCTGGCTTATAAACTGCCATAGTATACAAAAAGTCTGCCCCTATACATCTTCATCTCTGCTTATTTATAGTGTTATTGTCACAGATTACATCTCTATAGTGTCCATTAACATAGTTTTTTTTTTTTTGTTTTTTTGTTTTTTTTTTTTGAGACAGAGTCTTGCTCTGTCGCCCAGGTTGGAGTGCAGTGGCCGGATCTCAGCTCACTGCAAGCTCCACTTCCTGGGTTCATGCCATTCTCCTGCCTCAGCCTCCTGAGTAGCTGGGACTACAGGCACCCGCCACCTCGCCCGCCTAGTTTTTTGTATTTTTTAGTAGAGACGGGGTTTCACGGTGTTAGCCAGGATGGTCTCGATCTCCTGACCTCGTGATCCGCCTGTCTCAGCCTCCCAAAGTGCTGGGATTACAGGCTTGAGCCACTGCGCCCGGCCTAGATTTTCAATTATTTATGCATATTTGCCTTAAGGCAAAAAATAGGAAAAAAATGAATTACAAACCAGAAGTATAACTGGCTTTTATATTTATTTGGAATTATCTTTACTAGCGCTCTTAATTATTACTTTTTTTGTATGACTTTAAGTTAGTCTAGTGTTGTTTCATTTTAGCCTTAAGGTCTCACTTTAGCATTTATTGTGTGGCAGATCTGCTAAAAACAGACTGTCTTCATTTTTGCTTTTCAGCGAATGTCTCAGTTTCTCCTTCATTCTTGAAGGATAATTTCCCTGGAATATAATTAATTCTTCATTGATAGCTTTTTTCTCCCCAGCACCTTAAATATGTTATCCTTACAGCCTTCTGGCCCTCGTGTATTCTGATAAGAAATTACATTGAGGATCCCTTGTATATAATGAGTCACTTCTCTCTTGCTGCTTTAAATTTTTTTTTTTAAGTTTGTCTATCGTGTCTCCTTGTGGATCCCTTTGGGTTTATCCTGTTTGGAATTGAGTTTCTTGGATTCTTATCTTTCAGATTTTGGAGGTTTTCAACCATTATATCTTCAAATACTGTCCTTTTGTCTCTTTTCCCTCTGACACTGCCATAATGTGTATATTGGTGAGCTTGATGGGCTTCCACAAGTCCTTTGGCTTTTCTTCATTCTTAACTTTCTGTTCCATAGACTGATTTTTTTGAGACAGGGTCTCACTCTGTCACCCAGGCTGGAGTGCAGTGGCATGATCACACTCATTGCAGCCCCAGTCTCCCAGGCTGAGGTGATCCTCCTCCCATTGCAGCCTCCAAGTTGGTGGAAACTACAGGTGTATGCCACTATGCCTGGCTAATTTTTTATTTTTTGTAGAGATGGGGTCTCGCCATGTTGCCAGACTAGTTTCAAACTCCTCTGCTCAAGCAATTCTCCCGCCTTGGCCTCCCAAAGTGCTGGGATTACAGGCATGAGCCACCAAGCCCAGCCTCAGACTGTATTTTTTTCAATTATTCTGTTTTCAAGTTTGCTGATTCCTCCTTGTACCTACTCAAACCTGCTGTTGAACCCCTCTAGTGTATTTTCAAAAATTTCAGTTAGCATACATTTGAGCTCCAGTGTTTCTGTGTGGTTCTATTTTACACTTTCTGTCTCTTTATTGATATTCTGATTTCATTAGTAGTGTTTTCCTGGTTTCCTTTTTAGTTCATTTGTCCATGGTTTTCTTTTACCTCCCCAGCTTTTCTTCCCAGGTTTTAGGCAGTCCACTGTATGTTTCAACTTTAATCTTTCACCTCAGGTAAAAGGTGCACTTTCTTCCTGATTGCCTTACAGTGTTTTCAAGCAATGCCTGCAGTTTTTCTGCCAAGGAGGTTCTCAGGCAAACCAGAGATGAGCACCTTGTGTCAGTCTCCCAGACAGGTTTACGGCAGACACATATAACTTGTGAATAAGGCCTGCTTTGTTCCCTCTGGAACCAAGAACCAGGGTCTGTGGGCTGCTGTATTCAAGACCACTGCCATGCTGGGAGGGGCAAGTAAAAATGACACCAAGTTTTCTTACCATTATTAAGTTTCCTTTTTCTTAATCCAGATTTACTTGGTTGCTTTATAGTAACCTTTGTTTTCCAGAGCTCTGACAAACTGGGTTCAGGCGTGTTCCCCTCTCTGGAAGGATGGGTGTTTGAAGCTGTCTACTCCAACATCTTGCTGATATTCTATAAATCTATTTTTGAAACTATAATTATGTACAGGAAAGAACTTCCTTACTCTAAAAAACAAGGTATTTCCCCACTATGGCCTAGATCTGCATTTCTGAGATGGTTCAGTGGCTGGGGGATGTTAATTCTGATGTCTCAAAAGAAAACAATATGTATTAGTCAAATAAATTTGGGAAAAGCATATGAAAGCCTTAGAAAAGTTCTCAAGAAAGCCTGTTTTATGTTTATTTTAACCAAACATTTCCAAGTCTAAGATCCTTTTATTACTGATAATAAAGATTACTATTTGAAGAGCACCTGTCACTACAGTAGGACAAGAAAAATGGTCCCAGTTAGTGAAAGCTTTGAAAGCTGTATGATTTGTCAGTTGTGGGACTGGAAAAAGGCCCAAAGCAGACATGACTAGTACTATTTGGAAACAAATGAGTCAGAACCCCATCTCTCCAGGAGTTCCAAGACATTAACACCTGGGAATACATAAAACCAAGGTGCCTAAAGCCATATGAGCTGTATGGTTGCTAAGTGTTGTGGAAGACATCTTTGATAGACGAAACAGGGATAGTCAGGTTATAGCCTGCCTGGAGGGAACCACTAGGTGACCACCTCAAGCTGAAAAGTGATTTTTAAAAAGCTATGTTTCAAAACAAATGTGAAGGTGGTATGGAATGATAGTTTGAGTGCCCTTGGAAATGAATAAAATTAGGGCACCAAGTAGATCCTATATGTGTTTGGGGTAAGATGCGAGGCAGGGTGGGTGGGAGCTGATGCTGCTATTGCTGGACTCAAGTTGAGTACCTGAAGATAGATATTTTATTTATTTTTTTATTTATTTTATTTTATTGCACGTCTGTACAACCATCATCATATGCCCTTCTAGGACTAAGTGTCTGACTCACTTTGTCCCCAGTGATGCGTGCGTTAGTCCATTCTCACACCGCTATAAAGAACTACCTGAGACTGGATAATTTATGAAGAAAAGAGGTTTAATTAACTCACAGTTCTGCAGGCTGTACAGGAAGCATGGCTGGGAGGCCTCGAGAAACTTAGTCATGGTAGAAGGGCGAAGGGAAAGCAAGGACCTTCTTCACATGGCAGAAGGAGAGAGCAAGCAAAGGGGGAACTGCGACACACTTAACCAGATCTCATGAGAACTCACTATCATGAGAACAGCAAGGGGGAAATCTGCACCCATGATCCAATCACCTCCCACCAGGCTTCATCTCCAAGACTCAGGATCACAATTCAACATGAGATTTGGGTGGGGACACACAGCCAAACCATATCATTCCACCCCTGGCCCCTCCCAAATCTCATGTTCTCACATTTCAAAACACAATCATGCCTTCCCAACAGCCCCCTAAAGTCTTAACTCATTCCAGCATTAACTCAGATGTCCCAAGTCAGGTCTCATCTGAGACAAACCAAGTCCCTTCCTCCTATGAGCCTGTAAAATCAAAAACAAGTTACTCCCAAGATACAATGGGAATACAGGCATTGGGGTAAATGCTCCCATTCCAAACAGGAGAAATCAGCCAAAAAGGGGCTATGGGCCCCATGCAAGTCCAGAACCAAGGAGGGCAGTCATTAAATCTCAAACCTCCAGAATGATCTTTGACTCCATGTCTCACATCCAGGCCACACTGGCACAAGGGGTGGGCTCCCAAGGCCTTGGGCAGCTCTGCCTCTGTGGCTCTAAATATGGCCCCTACGGCTGCTTTCACAGGCTGGCGTTAAGTGCCTGCAACATTTACAGGTGCACAGTGCAAGCTGTCAGTGGATCTGCAATGCTGGGGTCTGGAGAATGGTGGCCCTCTTCTCATAGCTTCACTAGGCAGTGCCCCAGTGGGGACTCTGTGTGTGCGCTCCAACCCCACATTTCCTCTCCACACTGCCTTTGCAGCTGTTACTCATGAGGGCTCTGCCTCTGCACCAAACTTCTCCCTGGACATCTAGGCGTTTCCATACATCCTCTGAAATCTAGGTAGAGGTTCCGAAACCTCAACTCTTGCCTTTGCACACCCACCTAACACCACATGGAAGCCACCAAGGTTTGGAGCTTGCACCCTCTGAAGCAGCAGCCCAAGCTGTACCTTGGTCCCTTTTAGTCACAGCTGGAGCTGGAGTGGCTGGGATGCAGTGTGCCATGTTCCAAGGCTGCACAGAACAGTGGGGGCCTGGGCCTGGCCCACAAAACCATTTCTCCCTCCTAGGCTTCCATGCTTGTGATGGGAGGAGCTGCTGTGAAGGTCTCTGAAATGCTCTGGAGGCATTTTCCTCACTGTCTTGGCTATTAGCATGAGAGTCTTCTTATGCAAATTTCTGCAGCCTTGAATTTCCCCCAGAAAATGGGTTTTTCTTTTTTACCACATGGTTGGGCTGCAAATTCTCCAAACTTTTATAAAAGCTCAGCGTTCGTTTTAAATATAAGTTCTACTTTCAGGTCATTTCTTTGTTCATGCAAATGAGCATAGGCTTTTAGAAGCAGTCAGGCTACATCTTGAACACCTTGCTGCTTGGAAGTTTTTTCTGCCAGGTACCCTCTCAAGTTCAGATTTTGCAGATCTCTAGAGCAGGGGCACAATGCCACCACTCTCTTTGCTAAAGCCAAGAGTGACCTTCACTCCAGTTCCAAATAAGATTCTCATCTCCCATCTAAGACCAACTCAGCCTGGACTTCACTATCCATATCACTGTCAGCACATTGGTCACAACCATTCAACAAGTCTCGAAGTTGCAAACTTTCCCTCATCTTCCTGTCTTCTTCTGAGCCCTCGAAACTGTTCCAACCTCTGCCCATTACCCAGTTCCAAAGTCACTTCCACATTTTCAGGTATCTTCATAGCAATGTCCCACTTCTCTGGTACCAATTTTCTGTATTAGTCCATTCTCACACTGCCATAAAAAACTACCTGAGACTGGGTAATTAATGAAGAAAAGCGGTTTAACTGACTCACAGTTCCGCAGGTTATACAGGAGGCATGGTTGGGAAGGCCTCAGGAAACTTACAGTCACAGCGGAAGGGCAAAGGCACCTTCTTCACATGGTGGAATGGGAGAGAGTGAAGCAGGAAGTGCTATACACTTTTAAACAACCACATCTATGAGAACTCACTATCATGAGAACACCAAGGGGAAAATCCACCTCCATGATCCAGTCACCTTCCACCAGGCCCCACCTCCAACACTCAGGATCACAATTCAACATGAGATTTGGGTGGGAACACAGAGCCAAACCGTATCAGTGCCCAACAAAGTGTATGAGGGATAAAGGAATGCATGAACCAACAGTGCTCTTTCCTTACCTGAGAGCAAGAATGGAAAAAACATGACCTCTCAACAATTAAACCAACCCTGTGTTTAGATCATTTTATTTGAGTGGCTGGAAGAGAGGTTATCACTATTCTGGTTATCCAACCATCTACCGAGATAAAGTTTAATTATCCACCTAAAAAATATTCAAGGATTATGAGCATCCCATAATTCCAACATCATCCTGTGAAGAAACTAGATGGATTAAGGCTATCATAAAACAATAACCTGGCATTGCTGTATGTCAGTTTTTGCCAACTTGACCTGTGGATTCAATGCAATCCCAATCAAAACCCAGCAAGTTATTTTGTGGATCTTGACAAACTGGTTCTAAAGTTTATATGGAGAGGCAAAAGATCAGAATAGCTGGCACAATGTTGAAAGAGAAAAAGATCAGAAGACTGATACTACCCAACTTAATTTAAGACTCATTATAAAGCTACAGTAATCAAGATAGGGTGGTAATGGTGAAAAAATAGACATGATCACTGGAAACAAATCGCCCAGAAATAGCCCCACACAGATATAGTCAACTGATCTTCGACATGGAAGCAAATGCAATACAATGGAGAAAAGACAGTCTTTGCTAGAGGCAGTGGCTCATGTCTAATCCCAGCAACTTGGGAGGCCAAAGAGGAAGGATCGCCTAAGTCCAGGAGTTCGAGACCAGCCTGGGCAATATAGTGAAACCTCATCTCTACAAAAACACCTTTAAAAATTAGCTGAGCATGATGGCATGCACCGGGGGAGGATCACTTGCGCCCAGGAAGCAGAGGTTGCAGTGAGCCAAAATGGCATCACTCTACTCCAGCATGGGTCAACAGAGTCAGACCCTGTCTCAAAAGAAGTCCTTTCAACATCAACAAATGGTGGACAACTGGACACGCACATGCAAAATAAATAAAGAAAAAAAGCAAGCAAGAAAAAACAAATCTAGACACAGACTTTAACACCCTTCATAAAAAGTAAAGTGGATCACAGACCTAAATGTAAAACACAAAACTCCTGGAAGATAACAGGAGAAAATATAGAATGGCTGTGGGTTTGGTGATGATTTTTTAAAATACAACACTAAAGGCACAATCCATGAAAAATACAGATAAGCTGGATTTCAATAAAAATAAAAACTTCTGCTTTGTGAAAGTCGCTGTCAAGATAATGAAAAGACAAACCACAGACTGGGATAAAATACTTGCAAAAGGCACATCTGATAAAGTACTGTTATCCAAAATAGACAACACTTAAAATTCAATAATCAGAAATACGCAATTAAACAATAGGCAGAAGACCTGAAAAGACAACTTACTGAGAAGCAAGCATATGAAAAGACGTTCAACATGTCATGAGGGGACTGCAAATGTCAGTCAATCAGGTACCACCACACAACTATTAGAATAGCCAAAACCCAGGACGCTTACACCACCAAATGCTGGTGAGGGTGTGGAGCAACAGGAACTCATTAATTGATGGTGGGAATGCAAATGGTGCACTTTGACAGTCAAACGAGACAAACCATATGATCCAGCACTGAAGCTCTTGGTATTTATTCAAATGAATTAAAAACATGCCCACAGAAAAACCTGCACACAGATGTTTACAACAGCTTTACACCAAGAAGTCTTTCAATAGGTGAATGGATAAACTGTTCATCTAGACAATGGAGTATTATTCAGTGCTAAAAATAAATGCAGTATTAAGCCATGAAATGACATGGAGGAACCTTAATTGCATATTACTAAGTGAAAGAAGCCAGTCTGAAAAGGCTACATATTGTATGATTCTAATATGACATTCTAGAAAAAGGAAAACTAGGGAGACAGTAAAAAGTGGTTGCCAAAGAATGAGATCATATCCTTTGCAGGAACATGGATGGGCTGGAGGCCATTATCCTTAGCAAACTAATGCAGGAACAGGAAACCAAATATTGCATGTTCTCAGTTACAAGTGGGAGCGAAATAACATGGACACAAAGGAGTAACACACTGGGGCCTACCTGAGGGTAGAGGGTGGGAAAAGGGACAGGACCAGAAAAATAACTATTGGGGACTAGGCTTAGTACCTGGGCACTAAATAATCTGTATAACAAACCCCCTTGTCATGAGTTTACCTGCACATGTACCCCCGAACCTAAAATAATTTTTTTTAAGTGGTTGCTGGGGGATTAGGGAAGAAAGGGATGAACAGGTGAAGCACATAGAAGTTTTAGGGCAGTGAAACTATTCTATATGATTCTATAATTATAGAAGATATCATTATATATCTGTCCAAGTCCATACAATGTAAAACACGAAGAGTGAATCCTCATGTAAACTATAGATTTCAGGCAATAATGATGTGTCTGGTGTGGGATATTGATAGTGGTGGGAGGCTGTGCATGTGTGAGGACGGGATATATGAGAAATTTTTTTGTTCAATTTTGCTGTGAACCTACAACTGATTTAAAAAAATCCTTTATTTAAAAAACTTTTTAAACTATACTCTAAAGATGAAATCAAGAGTAATAGGAGGGTCCTCTGGTCTCAAGAATGACTTCTTTTTTTTTTTTTGGTAGAGGCAGGATCTTGCTATGTTGCCCAGGCTGGTCTTGAACTCCTATTCTCAAGACAGCCTCCTGCCTCAGCCTTGTAAAGCGCTGGGATTATAGGCATGAACCACTATACCCAGCCAAGATTGCCATTTTGTATGATGAAACTGGCAGGACCCCATTGTTTCAAGATTTTGCTACAATATACAAAAACCAATCTGTGAGACAGTGGCTGGGCTTTTTTCCTGCCTGATTAGTTCAGTGCACATACAACTTGGACCAGAGGATCTGCGTTTGAATCCCAGCTCTGATACTTCCCAAACTGAGCTGTTTTCCTTATTTGTAAAGACTAAATGAGATCGCATATGTCAAAGAGCTTCGTAAACTCTCAACACATACAAAGTGCTACTGCTGAAATGATTTATAAATGTATCTTAAGAATGTCCCAGATGAGTGAATGTTGGTTAGGATGCATGACCACACCTTAGTGTGCTCCTGGTCAGCTCCTGACTTTGAGAAAACACGGATAGGAAGGCCCATGTCCCATGCACAAGACAACCAGCTCAAAGCAGGGACAGGCAGTGAGAGGTGAAAGAGACCTAGTCCTACAGCTGTCTGATCTGGGTGCAACTTGCAATGGGAAGGAAGGGACAGAAGCTCTAAATAGACCCACATACACACCCCAGGACATACTACAGCCACCAGCCAACAGGACAAGCAGCACAATTCCCAAGCATTCTCTTGGTTAAACAGATAAAAGAATGGCTGCCACACCATGTCTGTGAAAGCTGGGGAGCAGCATCCACAGAGCAGAAGTCAGTTCTGCTGAGCTTCCAAATCCCATATGCCTGGCCATCGCAACTCTTTCCACGCCCAACAAATGAAGCAATCTGGGGCAGCCAACACCTTGAAAGTTTACTGCACAGGGCAATCTACAATGGGGCCAAGTGCTAAAGCAAAAATTTATTAAAATTCATTTATGCAGTGTTTTATAGACAAAAGTAGAATCTTCGACATTCACGCCATCACCTGTATTTTCAGAACTGCTTCATGAGAAGATGGATTTCTTTTTCCTCCCCACAATAAGATATTTCTGTACATACTCCTAAAAATGATGCATTTATTTACACCACGTTTACAAGAACAATCCCTTTGTGATCCCAAAACCTGGGCAGAGAGTGAAAAGAGACAAACAGAACCTTCTCCAAAATGGTCCTCACAACGGAGGTGTAGTGCAAGAGATACATAAAATGGCAGCTCTTGAGAGGAGTGTGAGCACACCCAGCGGGGTAGGCAGCCCCTAGCTGCGAAGTGTGGCCAGCCGGGACTGCATAGCCTCCAGAGCCTCTTCCTCCTCCTCCTCCTCATCTGAGGCAGCCATTGCTCCTGAAGGTTCTGGCTCTGGAAGGGCATCGGTCACTTTACTGGGTGCTTTGCCCAAGGCCCCTGAAAAGAAAGAGCGAAGATGAACACCACATTGGCTTAAGGAAGCAGCCCCTCAATCTTCCCTGCCTTTCATTCCTGGACCAATCTGACCAGATACAAAAATGGGACCGTAAATCAAGTTGTTTTGGGGGGTTTTACTCACTCTGGGAAATGTGCAAATAGCTACCTGTAATGATGCCAAAGTCATAATAATTGTAAGGATTTTAAGAATCTTGGTTCTGAAGCTCCTAATCTAAATTCCTAAATGCTACTGAAAACTTTAAATCTTCTTTCTGAATAAAACTAAATTGTTTCTAAATCTTCACAAAATATTTTCTTGAAGTAACTGTCTTCCTTTCCCCAACAACTTAAAACCAACAAATGAACAAAAATTAAACCCCACCATTTTTTAAACATAAAACTCAGAAAATCTAGAAGTAAAAAGTTTAAAAACTCATTAACCATCACTTGGAGATTACCATTTTTATCATCTCCCTTCCAGACTTCTATAGACATGTTTTTACACAAAAGTATGTATTTCAGTTAAAAGGCTTTAATCACATGTTGTAAATATCTTTCCATGTTAATGAGTATATTTCTGTATCATCTATCACAATATATAGTATACCATTAAAATAAATATAACACAAATGATTTTATTTTTATTTCAAACTTTTTTTTTTTTTTTTGAGACAGGATGTCTGTGTCACCCAGGCTGGAGTGCAGTAGCATGATCATGGCCAACTGCAGCCTGGACCTCCTGGGCTCAAGCAATCCTCCCACCTCAGTCTCCCAAGCAGCTGGGACTAAGGCATGTGCCACCACACCCACCTAATTTATATATTTTTTGTAGAGATAGAGTTTCACCATGTTGCCCAGGCTGGGCTCCTGAGTTCAACCAATCCACTTGCCTCGGCCTCCCTCAAAAAGTGTTGGGATTACAGGCATAAGCCACTGCACCTGGCCTTCAAACTTTTCATTGTTATAAAGAATGCTACTACAGACATCCTTGAGTTAAATATTTCAGCACATTCTTAATTATTTCATTAAACTCCCAGAAGTCAATCTGTTAGGTCAAATACTTTTTTTTTTTTTTAATACATATTTTTTTGAGATGGGTCTCACTATGATTGCCCAGGCAGGTCTCAAACTCCTGAGCTCAAGTGATCCACCCACCTCAGCCTCCCAAAGTGCTGGGATAACAGGCGTGAACCACTGCACCTGGCGAGGGCAAGGGCTTTTGAATGGCTACGGTCAAATCGCTTTCAAGAAAGTCTATACCAATTTAAAATCCCAACAGCAGTATATGAGAGCAGTATCTTCCTTTAAAATCAAGAAAACTCTAAAAATTTTAAGAATTGTGTTTTTTTAAAAGATGGTTATGGATATTGCGCTTATTTTTCAAGAAATAAGCTGTATACTCTAAAATGTTAAAAATGTAGAAGGGAGTTAATGCCTAAAGAAAAAGCTACTAGCGAATTTAGTGAATGCAGGAAGAATGGCCATAAAAGGAGAAGAAAGGAGGGATCTCATGGTCATACCTGCTGTAATTTCAAACAGAATTCTGTCAATTTCCATTTCTGCTGCTTCCTCCATTTCTTCCTGATCGTCCATGCTTTCAAAAGTGTCCTCTAACATCTCTTCTATGATCCCAGCCTAAACACAGAATAAATATGTCACTTCGGTCAACTGTTAAATCTGTTCCCATCAGACACCCTACATATCACCTAGACCGAGCTCGAGCCTAAGTCCAGTCCATCCTTTCAAGGGCTGACACACAAGACAGCTGGCCAAGGAAACACTGGATGTTGTCCTCTCTGCAGAAATGCAAAACCCCCAAAGGGAAACGGCTCTCTAAATTTAACACCCTAGGGGTGGGGATTGCTACTACTGACTGTCAGCAGAGCTTCCTAAAGTAACCCAGACTCAATATAATGGCAGCACCTGAGAAACAGCTCGCTGACAGATGAGTGTATTTCCAGTGCCGTTTTGGGAAGCATCTGCCCTAACGCTGCAAATATAATTCGTGAACACAGGGGTTGGAATATGGTATGAAAAGTAGTTGGAGCCGTAGTAGACGCTGTGATAAGAAATGCCAACAGCAGGGCAGAAGCCAAAAAAGGCCTGGAGAGGACTTCAACTTGTCCAGGTTACATCTGCCAGAATGGGGTAATCTGCAAGGATCAATTAACCAAAATCTGATCACCCACTCCTGGGAGGACTAAGACAATATTTCTGGACCCAACAAAGTAAAGGCCAGACACTTTTCTGGAAGTCCTGTGCCTGGCAGCGTGCAGGAGCCAGCCAGTCAGCCTCCTCTGTTCTCAAGGCAGCACGGCACCACTGCAGGACACAAGCAAATGGCTTTAACACTGGCCCAACCCAACCTAGCCCTGCAGTCTTTGTGCTCAGCAGTTCCTCAGCTCCCAGATAGGGCCCTATTGAATGTTCTTTGTTTGTTACTGAAGCAAAGGGTTGGAACAGCAACCTCCAAAGTCAACAAGGGGGCTGCTGACATCCCTGGGCAGAACAGGTACTGGGGGGTTGAGTGGCTGTGGTGGAGGGCATGGGTTCAGGTTTCTGAGAAGCTGCTAGAAAAAGAAAACCCTGGTTGTCTTGCCACCTGAAAAAACTAAGTCCCTTGCTTTGTACCTTGACGTTCTGGTGATTCAAGGAGCAGAAAGTCACATGTAGCAGCTCCGGCCCTGGCTCCCTTGTACTCAGCCAGGGTACAATTCTCAGTGACTATGCTGAAGGGTTCAGATTTAAAGCAACCCTCTATCCTGCCTGCCTGAATCTAACTAGCACCTTATTCTGCCCATCCTCATATCCGTTCTATCCAACCAAAATGAACAAATAAATTCAAGTTCATGTTCACCCAGGTGGAACCCTAGGGCCTTCCTGAATGGGATCATCTTAGTACTGGGAGCTACTGTAAAAGAAGTGCAATAAATGCTTGCTAATTGGTTAAAAAGAGTCCACCAGAATCCTAACTGTAATAGCCCTTCACACTCTGGAGGCAGAAGTTGTCATTTATTTATTCATTCAATCAGCAACGATTCATCAAAGTCCTGCTCTGTGCCACACAATAGGCCTGGGGATAAACGGAATGACTAAGATGTGTTCCTGCCCTTGTGAAGCTGAGCCCCTACTGGGGCCTTCGGAATCTACCAGACGCAAGCCTTCTTCCAAATCTATATTACTCCCAGTATTCAGAAACCATTATGAAAAAGATCCCAGATTCTGAAAAAGGCTTCCCTCTCAGATCCTGGTGGCTCTGAGTTAAAATGAGCAAGCCTGAAGGCACTCCAAGAATGATCTTATTATCTGGTTCTAGATGAACAGTGATCACCAACTTGGGGGCAAGACACCTACATGCTATTTGTAAAGGACATACCCTCCTGACCCATTCCTTCCTTACTGCTACTGCCCAAGGACTTCTCATTCAAACAACCTGGGCCCTGGGCTTTCTATGTTGTTTTTCTGCAATTTTCTTTTCCAGCCCCTCTCTCCCATGCCCTAAACCCTGTATACAATTCAAGTTCATAAATGAAATTCACTGAGACTAAGGGAGGCGATTTCTACGCACAGCCTCTATACAAGAATTTGAGGTGTACACTCTTGGTTGTCAGTCACAGGTCTGAAGCATGAAACAGCATCTGTGTGAGGGACCTCCCATCCTCATTTCCACTGTGACAACTCAAGTGATAAGGTCAGACATCAGTGCCCCAACTCCAGATCTTCACTTACAACCAAGGTGACCTTAGGGAAACTACCTGATGACCCAAAGACTCAGTTTCTGTCTATGTAAAAAGAGGATAAAAATCCCTCCCTCTCAAGATGGCTAGAAGAACAGACTAGGAGATAGGACAGTATGTGGCTGCCGGGGCTCGGCAACAATGCCTTCTTTATCCCTGTCCTTGTCTGAAGGCCACGAGTACAGGTCCTTGCCAGACCCTGATTCTGGGGGTGGCAGGTATTTACATGCTTTCTATTGATTCTCAGTCTCTCCTTTTTTAGTTTAAAACAGGGATCAGCAAATTTGACCTGCTGCTGCAGGCCAAATATGGTCTCTGCCTGTTTTTGTAAATCAAGTTTCTTTCCTTCTCCTTGCCTGTGTTGGACCCTACAAACTTTATTTCCTTGATCCCTAAATGGTTGCTCCTTGGATCCCCCACCTCCTCTAGAGCTCTGGGTAGACTTTTGCTACTTCTACAGAACACTCTGGCAATCTGACCCAGACTCTGCCATGCTGAGCTCAAATGGTTTCGATCAATGTTAACAGCTACTCCTTAAAATTAATTCTGTCTAGCAGGTGTAGTCTGTTCATCCCCACCCACCCTCATCCCTGGACCACTGCTACTTGCTTAGAGTGACTCCGGGGTTTGGAAAGGAAAGCAGGGCTAGCCTAAGTCACCTTCATCATTTCTTTGGACAACTCCCTCATGGTGGCCTGAATTTCTGGAATCTTCACAAGACTTTGCATGGCCTTCATCACTTCTGTGCTCTTCTGCAAGGAACCAGCCACTCGCAAGACCGCTGAAAGATAATGTGTACAGTCAGGATTGTTCAACAGGATGGAATAAAGAGACACAGCCAAATTATGAGCCATTCCAATAAATAACAGCAGTAGCAGATGGACACCCAAGGTTATTTGTGTGCCTTTAAATTAATTACTGTCCTTGTTGACCAAGAGACTGACTTTTCTAAATTGTATGCTATCTGGGTTACTACTGATGTGAATTCAGTGAGCATGCACACCAGATGACCAATCTGGAGAGTGGCCTGAAGCCACTCTTGACTTTTAGAAAAAGAAGCCAGCTTGGAGTAACTGTGACACCCAGGAAAATCACAAATGGGAGGAACAGCTCCAGACCTTCTAAAGGCCACACTAGAAAAGAGAAGGCTTTAGGACCCAAGTAGAGCTCCCCATTCACCAGCCTATGGACAGTGTCTGTTCGGTATGGAGCCAGCTTATCACTGGTCCTCAGAAAAATGAGAGCAACTAGGATAGATACAGTGAATATGTGTATGTGTGTCAGTGTGAGGTGGTTCCTTACTAGAGAAAAACCTTCTGTAGTCTGAGATTATATGCCTACTATAATCTTCTTTATAAGAAATCATGGTAGTATCAAAAGATCATTGCCCTACTCTCAATGTCTTTAACATGTCAAAGAGTTGGCAACCATCCAAACCTGTTTTAGAATTTCTGAGACTTGAAGTTCTGAGAGCTGTCATATACAAGCTGTTCCCTAAAACTGGCGCACAGACTTCCTTCCTCCTGGCTAAATCAGGAGTCACTATAGGTTTACCTCTGGTGGAATCCAGACCCTAGGAAGCTTTCACATCTAAGGGAAAGCAAGAGTGACCAGAGAAATGCCTGACATTTATAGCACTATGTTTTTTCTAAAGGAGTAAGGGAGTTTGCTAGTTGCAGAGAACTCTTCATTTCTCTTAACACTGAAATGGGAAAATAAAATATTTATTAATATTAGTAGAATGACAGAGGAAGTGTCAAGAATCTGTGAGGCTGAAATAAGCAATAAATTACATATGCCATTAAAATGATATAAAAAGTTATAGAATGTTAAAAGTTATTATTGATTATATAAAGATGGGAAGAAAAGCGTAAAAATAAAGCAAATTCCATCCAGTTTTGTTTATAAAGCCTGATGTCTACATGAGCCTGTAGTTGTATTATTTTATAATTTGTGTCCTGATACATCCTTATACATATTATAAGTTGCATTATTATTTGCATCCTGAGTCTGTAACCCAGAGAGAGTACCTGAACATGGTATGTGTTCAATAAACTTCTTTGAGCTGAATTAGTGAAAATAAGTAAACAGATGGGAGACATGGAAAAAACTATGACTACAGAAGTATTTAAACACTGAGTCATTTGTATTTTGAAAAAGGTATAAATTTCTCATTATTAGAAGGTACAAGAAAGGAAGAGTCAATGTTGTAGGAAAAAGAGGACGCAAAAATAAACTTAGAAATAAAACTTACTACAAAAACATTCAAGTTGATAACCAATCAAAATGGATTAGGTAAGTGGATTTTTAAAAGGCCAGACTAATTTTATGTTGTACACTTGAAACTCAAGACAAAGGTGGTCACTATGGTTTGAATATGTCCCCTCCAAAATTCAGGTATTGCCACTGTGATAGTATTAAGAGGTGGAGCCTTTAAGAGGTGATTAGGCCATGAGGTTCTACCCTCGTGAATGGATCAGGTGCCCTTAGAAAAGGGCCTGCAGGAGGCAGTTTGTTCTCCCTTGCCCTTCCTCCTGCCATGTGAGACCACAGCATGCCTACCCTCCAGAGAATGCAGCCCTTACCAGACAACCAACCCTGCCAGCATCTTGAACTTCCCAGACTCCAGAACTGCATAAAATAAAATTCTACTCTGAATAAATAACTCAGTCTCAGGTATTCTGCTATAGCAGCACAGAACAAACTAAGGTATTAAAAAAAATGTATTTCCTATGTTCCAAAAGGAAAAATGAAATAAGAAGGTATGGCAGGTAAAAATTATTTCATAATAAAAATAGCCAAACCTTCAAAAGAATGAGAAGGCAAGCCACAAGCTGCAGGAAAATATTTGCAAAAGACATATGTGATAAAGGACTGCTATCCATAACATACAAAGAACTCTTAAAACTCAATAATGAGAAAATAACTGAACTTAAAAATGGTCAAAAGACCTGAACAGATAACTCACCAAGATGATATATTAATACAAATGGCAAGTAAGCATATGAAAAGATGTTCAACATCTTGTATCATTTGGGGACTAAATTAAAACAATGAGATACCACCAAAAACCCATTAGAATGGCCCAGTCCAGACCACTGACAATACCAGATGCTGGTGAGAATGTGCCGCAACAGGAACTCTCATTTATTACTGATGGGAATGCAAAATGGTACAGCCACTTTGGAAGACAAAGCCAGACACACACCTACCATATGATCCAGCAAGTGTGCTCCTTGGTATTTATCCAAATGAATTAAAAATAGGTCCACAGAAAAACCTGCACACAGATGACTTATAGCAGCTTTATTCATAACTGCCAAAACTTGGAAGAAACCAAGATGTCTTTCAGCAGGTGTATGGATAAACAAACTGGTACATTCAGACAATGGAATAGTATTCAGTACTAAAAATAAATGAGCTCTAAAAGCCATGAAAAGACATGGAAGAAACTTAAATGCATATTACTAAGTGAAAGAAGCCAATCTGAAAAGGCTACATATTGTATGATTCCAACTATATGACATTCTAGAAAAGGCAAAACTATGGAGACAGTAAAAAAAAAAATCAGTGGTTGCCAAGGGTTAGTAGGGAAAAAAGATGAATAAAGACAGCACAGAGAATTTTTCGGGCAATGAAACTACTTTGTATTTACTGATACTATAATTGTGGATATCATTATACATGTGTCCAAACCCATAGAATGTACAACACCAAGAGTGAATCCTATGTAAACTATGGACTTTGGGTGATAACAACATGTAAATAGAGGTTTACTAATTGTAACAAATGTACCACTCTGGTGTGGGATGTTGATAGTGATGGAGGCTATGCACGTGTGAGGGCAGGGGTACATGGATCTTCTGTACTTTCTATTCAATTTTGCTCTGAATCTAAAACTGTTCAAAAAATAAGTTTACTAAAAAATAAAAACAACTATACCCTGAAGGTGAAATCAAGAGTAATAGAAGGGCCATCTGTATTCAAGATTGCCATTTTGTATGATGAGACTGGAAGGACTCCAGTCCTTAATATCAGTAGAATGCAGTAGAATGCAGCAACACCTGGCATCAGGCGTTTCCTCCAGAATCTACAAAACCAACATGCCAGAGAGTCGTTGGGCTTTTTTTCTGCCTGATTATTCTAGTGTACGTATGACTTAGACTAGAGATAACTGGGTTTGAACCCCATCTCTGCCATTTCCTCACTGTCATCTTCAGCAAGCTGAATTGTTTTCCTTATTTGTGAAGATTGAATGAGATCACATGTCAAAGAGCTTTGTAAATTCTCACACACATACAAATATAAAGTGCTACTGCTGAAGCAGTTTATAAATGTATCTTAAGAATGTCCCAGATGAGTGGGACTTGGTTAGGATGCATGACCACACCTTGGTGTGCTGCTGGTCAGCTCCTGACTCTGAGAAAGCACTGATGGAAAGGCCCATGTCACACGTACAAGATAACCAGCTCGAAGCAGGGACAGGCAATGAGAGGTGAAAGAGGCCTAGTTCCACAACTCTGCTATAAGCCACTGTAGTAAAGTTTTCTGTTATTTGCTGCTGAACATATTCCTTAGCTAATACTACAAAAAAAAGCAAAAATATCACCCATTATGTTTTATGAAGTATATGTAACACTAATTCTAAAGTCTGAACAAAACTCTAATCAGAGTTGCCAGATAGTATTCTAATGAACTCAGGTGCTATTTAAAATACTAAAACTATCCTCAAATAGATTGTACAAACCCATTAAGACCAAAGTAGATTCACATTCAATAGGCATGGGTGGCTTAATCTAAAAATACCACATTCAAAAACCAAGAACACATATTAAACACTAAAATATAAATGGCATCAGAGTAGTGACTGCGTCCCACTATGTTAACAATATGCTGAGTGTACAGAATGCAATCAACAAATAGATGCTGAATAAATAAATGAATCAATCCATAAACAAAGCATTATTTAATGGTAGAAAGTCCCAGAAAGCATGTGTTAGACTGAAACAGAAATTCCTGTTTAAAATCTTCAAAAGACCACAGCGTTCAAAGTATCATTATATATTTAATTAAAATGCCAAATTTCATGCTTAAAAATGGTTAAAATGGCAAATTTTCTTATGTATATTTAACTATAATAAAAAACTTTCCCCACATCCCCCCCCCAAAAGGTTAAAATTTTACAGCAACATTACTAAGTCAGCAATGTAAAAATTAGTTGATCACATTTAAAACTACAAAGATCAAAGTTACACAGAGAGGAATATGAAATAAACTGAGCAGCATTCCATTGGTCACAGCTCTTTTTGTTGAAATGCCTTCCCTACCCCAGGCCTGTCTGCAGATCTCTCTGGATTCAGGCTCTCTCCAACTTCAGGGCCTCTCCACATGGTCCTCCCTCAGTGTGGAGTGCCAGTCCCACTGACAGCTCCGTAATGTAGAGGCTTGGTGGACAAAGTTAAAAAAAAAAAAAAAAAGGGAGTGCTTCAAAGTTTGTATTTATCCTTGTGCAGGGCCACATTAATCTTCTCAGTAGTGTTTCAATTTTAGTATATGTGCTGCCCAAGAAAGCTGGAGTGCAGTGGTGCGATCTCAGCTCACTGCAACCTCTGTCTCCCGGGTTCTAAGCGATTCTCCTGCCTCAGCCTCCCAAGTAGCTGGGATTACAGGCACACGCCACCACACTTGGCTAATTTTTGTATTTTTAGTAGAGGCGGTGTTTCACCATGTTGGCCAGGCTGGTCTCGAACTCCTGACCTCAGGTGATCCACCTGCCTCAGC